TCCTTCTGCCTCTGCCTCTGGAGTAGCTGGGATTACAGGTGTAAGCCACCACACCTGGCCAAGGATCTCCTACTTCTGATCAGTCCTCCTAGGAAGCAGGGAGGACATTGTAAAGAAGTTCGACTCACAGCCTGGCCAACATTCACCTAATAATAACGGCGGCAGCCTGTACAAAGAGGTGGCTGGGCGCAGGTCTCTGCGGAAGCATGTTTCCTGTATTAACTCGTCATATCCTTGCAAATCAGCCCTGTGAGATAGGTACTATTTCCCCATTAAACCGATTGCAAATCTAAGGTAGAGAGAGGGTAAGGGGCTCACCTAAGATCCCACAGTTACTAAGGAGCAGAACTGGGGTCCAGCCCTGGAGCACGATTGCAGGTCTGTGTTTGCCTCCTCTCCTCTGCTGCTCTCACTGGTCCCATTCCTGTCCCACCAGCAAGGCACCAGCTCCTCTGAGCTCCCATTTCCTTATTAGTGAACTGGGGGAAATAACACTGCCTTGATGCTTGTTGTTTGAGAGTTAGATGTAAAAATACGGCAGAGTACACAGCTCTCAAGACAAAACCAACAAATGAGAGGGATAGCAGCATGGCTGCCCTGGGTGGCTCCCATCTCAGACACAGTGGGGACATAGGTACCCAGCATAAACATGCCTTACCCCCAATTCTAAGATGCACGTCTTCTCATATTCTGACATCTCTGACATGTCTTAAGTTTAGTGTGGCTCATGTCAGTGGTGACAAAGTGCATGACAGAAATTCAGAGACAGCAAGTCAGATAGGGCAAAGCTTTGCCAGACAGAAGAGTCTCTGGAGAGTCAGAAGGCAGGCGTGGGTCTTGCCACATCTCAGGCATCTGACTTGATCTAAGGGCAATTCTGGACTGTTCTCTGCCTGCCCCCTCTCCAGGGTAGTCTGCTGAAATGTGCATGCCCCATGTCCCAGGGCTGCAGGGGTTAGGAGGAAAAAAGAGTTGCAGTGTTTCCAAGGGTGAGAATAAAGATGATTTCTACTCCAGCGCCTTTGCCTGCCCTTGGCTTTTTGCCTCCCACCCACCATCCTGGGACATAGCTGTCCCCAGGCCCCTGTGCCTGCTACAGCCAGGAATCTGGTCACCCCTGCTTTCTGTCATCCCAGCTGGCATCACAGCTCCCCTGACTGCTCCTGTTGCTCCTACCTTGTCTGGGGCTTGTGAGGACACTTTTACTTCTGGGTTCACTTTGTTTTCAGCTGTTCAGATCAGAAAGCTTGGGACGTCCTTAACTGCTCTTGATAGCCAACCAGTCCACCAAGGAAGCCTGCTCGGTGGCCTCCCAATACCCTTGGGTCTCCCCAATACACCCAGGTCCTACCACTTCTCACTGCTTCTGCTGCTGCTACTCTGCTCCAAGCCACTGTCATCTCTCACTTGAATCAGTATAAATGCCCCCTTCCTGGTCCGTAGCCTTCTGCTCAGATCCTGTCAGTTGGTAGCCACTCATCTAGTCCTGAGGGAAAGCTGAAGCCATGGCCCACCAGGCCGGGCTCCCCATCACCTTTCTGCCCTATTTTACCACTCACCTCACTCACTCATTGTTCTTCAAACTTCTTCTTTTTCATTGTTTTTCTTCAAATAGGCCAGGTATGCTCCTACCTCAGGGCCTTTGCACTGGCTATTCCCTCAGCCTGGAATGTTCTTCCTGCAGATATCAATGGAGCTCATGTCCTCTTTTCCTTGAAGGCCTACACGGACCTCCTCGATATTGCCACTTGGGGCTGAAAGTGTAGCTCGTTGTAGAGCATCTTGATTAGCAAGCTGGGAGCCATGAGTTCAAATCCCCAGCACTACAAAGAACAAACGGGCAAATGCACACACACACACACACACACACACACACACACACACACACACACACATCCTGGGCTGGGGGAGTGGCTCAAGTGGTGGAAGCCTGCCTAGCAAGCAGGGAGGCCCTGAGTTCAAGCCTCAGTGTCACCAAAACAAACAAACAGAAAACATTGTAACTTTGTTTTCTATCCATGCACCCTGACCCTCCTAGTTGTCTCTGTTTGTTTTTTGGGGTGCTTAATGCTTATCATGTTTATGGTTTGTCTTCCCCTCATTGAAAATTTCTCCCCGAGGAGGGACATCTTGGTCTAGTTTGTTTACTGGTGCTCCTGAAGTGTCTAGAACAGTACTTTCCACACAGTATGTGCTCAATAAAATGCTGTTGACTGAGTTTGCCAGTTTAGAAGGGGTACATAAATGGCAATAATTACTCTTTGAGGAGAACGAGGCAACTTCAGGGATTTGAGTAGGTGGTAGTGAAAGTGGATCTTTTTATGTTATTTTGGTGATAGGGCCTCAGGTTTTAACTCAGGGACTCATGCTTGCTTGTCAGGCATTCTTACCACTTTGAACCATTGTGATGGGTTTTTTGAGATAGGATCTCAGGAACTATTTGCCCAGGGCTGATTTTGAACTGTGGTACTGGGGTTTGAACTCAGGGCCTACACCTTGAGCCACTCCACCAGCCCTTTTTTGTGATGGGCTTTTTCAAGATAGGGTCTCACAAACTATTTTCCCAGACTGGCTTTAAATTGCAATCCTTCTGATCTCTGCCTCCTGAGTAGCTAGGAATATAGGTGTGAGCCACCAGCTGCACCTGGCTCAGAAGTGGATCTTACTGTGGGTCTGGAAGGTGAGGTAGGTGACAGGCAACAGACCAGCCTAGAGTGAGAGTGTTTGGTGGTTGGGTGGGAGGTAGGGAGAGGTGTCAGCCAGTGATACTCAGTTGGAGTGGATATTAACAAGGTAATGTGAGGCCAGATTGAGTGAATTTGAATGTAGGCTAAAGGCTTCTCCCCCAGCCAGGACCAGCTATATAATAACTGTGGGGTACGGTACAAAATGAAAATGTGGCTCCCTTGCTACAGTGACACTTGTTCATTAAAACCAAACTCCAGGTTGGGCTCTTCTGAGTGCAGGATTCCATGTGTGACTGCATAGGTCATAGAAGCCAGCCCTGTCTATAGCCCACTGGGGAGCTGGGGATTGTGTTTTAGCAGAGTAGAGATGTAACTGGAGTTGAACTTATTCTGGCATATCCAATGGCTGGTCTGGAGGAAGTCTGGTCAGGGAGACTGGTTAGGTAGCCTTATGAGGGAGAGGAGGATAGAGCAGGGGCAGTTGTGGGGTTCTGAATGGTAGAGGGAAGGGGTGACACTGGATTAGGGCTTGAGTGGGAAGCCTAGAGGAGGCAGCATTCAGTTAGATGAGAGCAAGGGCCAGGGAGAGACCCCTGAGTGTGCCTGCCTTTCCTCTCCAACCCCTTCCTCTTTCTTCCCTGCTTTCCAGACTTTGCCTTAGAAGTGGCATCCAGCACTGGGATCAGCAATTTATCTCCCTTTGGCCACCAGAGGGCAGATCATTTTCATGGATTTTGAGGTTGAATTTGGGGTGGGGTAGTTGAATGTACTCTGTCCTCCTTTCTTTTTCCCTCATCATTTTGGGTGTGCCTTCACTTCTTTCCCAATAGTTAGGTGTCTGAATGGAGCTGGTGTGGGATAGGGGGAGGTGTCCTAGAGTTCCATGGCTTTACTAAGGTCTAGGTGGTACCTGTAGTAGCTGGAAGTACTTTCTTATCTCTCCCTTTGCATCCATTCAGCAGTTTCTCTGATTGAAGTGACCAAGGGTGCAGCTCAAAGGGGCAGTAGCTGGGAGTTCGAAGTCAGCTGTGAGAGGTCCAGTAAGCATTTTCCCCTCTAATACTCCTGCTTCAGTTTCCTCAGCTTTTATACTTTTGGGGACCTGTTGCCTGAGCTTGGTCTTCAGCTCCTGTGGGCCTCTGGTTCCTACCCACTTTAAGTTGCCATTGAACCTTACTAGGAGGCAAGTTCCAACATATCCAGTGTACTATGGGTGGGGATAGCTTGGTGCTGGAGAGATCAGCCCAGGCTCTTGCCTCTCCTTGGTGGGACAGTATAGGAGAAAGTGAGGAGTAGACCCAGGTTACTATGTGGATTTCCTATTAAAGTCAATGGTTCTCCAAAGCTGAGGACTCCAGAGCTCATGGATCCAATAATCTCACTTTACTAATAGGGAAACTGAGACCCAGAGAAGGAAAGCAGAATATATTCAGAGGTCCATTCTTTGTGCCATCTTGAGGAATCATTTTGTTTTGTTTTGTGTTGATTGTTTGTCTCTTCTTTTGGGTGCTGGGACTCACCCAAGGCCTCCTGCATGCTAAGTATGAGCTGTACCACTGAGCTACACCCCCAGAAATCATTATCTTCAGTGACTTCCTCTTTACTTTTCCATGAGTTTCTTTGTTTTAGAAGGAATAACTGAAATGTGAAACGAGAAGGTCCCTCCTGACTTACCTTGCAGGGCATTTAAAAAGGTAACTGGAAAGATATTATTTAAAGTGTCAACACTGAAACGAAACCGTGGATCCTTCCAATATAGGGAAGTTATGTGATTTTTTTCAAGATCATTCAAGTATTGTCTTTTTTTTTTTTTTTTTTTTGAGGTACTGGGGCTTGAACTCAGGGCTTCCACCTTAAGGAACTCCATCAGCCCTTTTTTGTGATGGGTTTTTACGAAATAGGGTCTCAAGTACTATTTTCCCAGGCTGGCTTTGAACCTCGATCCTCCTGATCTCTGCTTCCTGAGTAGCTAGGATTACAGGGGTGAGCCACCCGCACCTGGCAAGCATTTTCATTAGGCAGAACTGGAGCAGAAGTGCAGGTCCCTGGCCCCTCTTGCTAGCTACTGAGTGCAAAGGCCACTGACCACAGAGCCCTGAGGACTAGATCCGAGGATGTCAGATAGGTAGAAGCCAAGACAGAAGACAGACTATGGCAGGCGGTGAATGACAAGTAGATAGGTAATAGACTAATACCGCATTTAGCATATAGAAAGGTTGGATAATAAACAGAAAATGGATTTTATGAGCTGACCGACAGTAGGACACACAGACAGGAAGTAGCTTTAGAACAAACAGCTTTATTATCTAGTCAAAAAGCACGCTCAGGTGACCCACGCTTTCCTTAGAAAGCTTGAAAATACCCGAAAACTGACGGAAAGAAACGAAGAGTTAGACCCAAGTGAACCACACAAGGAAAAAGACCCGGGGTTCGGCGGGCCTCGGGTGTTTCCGGAAATGGCCGACAACCGCGGAACGGCGGGACGGGGCGTGGCGGATTTAGCACGCGGAGCCTCTTCGGGTGTTTCCGGAAACTGCCGAAAGATAGCTTGAAGTGGGCGGGGAAAGGGCAGTGGGCGTGGCCAGGTGGCTCTGGAGTGCCCGGAGTTGCTTCGTGGATTTCCGTAAACAGAGCCGAAGTTTGGTCTTCGGAATCTCAGAAGTGTATGCGTCCCCGGGGTTACCTTCTTCGGCTGTTTCCGGAATTCACCGATAGTCCGTGGTGAAGAGAAGGCGCGCCCCCCTCCCGTGCCTAGTTGCTTCGGATGTTTCCGGCTGCTGCCGGCGGAAAGAGCCGAGGGCCGGCGGTGGTGGCGGCCATGTTGGGAGCAGCAGGTCCGGCGGCGGCTGCCTGTGTGCCGGGCGCGGAGCAGTGCGGCTGAGGGCAGGGGAGGAGCGAGGCAGGCGGCTGGCTGCGGCGGCAGAGAGTAGGCGGAGCGGCGCGGCCCGGCCGAAAGGCGGCACAGCCCAGCCGGGGGTCGGGGGGGTGCGGTCCGGAGCCGCTCGGAGCCGGCGCGGCCTAGCCCGAGCGGCGCATCCCCGGGCTGGCGTGAGAGGCTGCCCGACCTCCCCGCACCCCCGGCCGGGGCCCATGCGGCGGGTGCTCCTGCTGTGAGAAGCCCCGCCCGGCCGGGCTCCGCGCCTTCCCTTCCCTCCCTTCCTCCAAGGTTCTCGGTTCCCTCCCCTGAGATACCGGCGCCATGTCCAGCGCCCGGACCCCCCTACCCACGCTGAACGAGAGAGACACGGAGCAGGTAAGGAGCCCCGAGAGGGCTCCCTGAATTCCCTGGCTGGGCCCCTGCACCTTGCGGAGCTTCCTCCCTCTGCTCTCCTGCCCCTGGTGCCATCCCGCAAGCCTCGCCTGCCCTGTCATCTGGCTCCCGTCTTGGACCACCCATATCCCCCTTCCAAGTCCTGACCTGGGACCCACCTTGTCCTGACTCGGAGCTGCACACTAGTCTTTCTGTCAACCCCTCTCGCCCCTCACCGCCCTCCTGCGCTCTTCCGTGTTACCTCCCCAGCTTCCCTTTCTCTTCCCTTTTTCTCTCAGGGGCCTTTTTGGTCTTCCTCCACCCACGCTTTAAGCAGCAACCCTCCCGCTCCTCGAATAACATCCCGCGATTCGCCTCGGATTGTTATGCACCTTCCTGCATCTCTAGCCTTGCTTCCCCTCCGCCCGCACCGGTTCTCCCAGTCCTTGGTGATCGCCCTCGGGGTACTTGCCCCGGAGTATGTTCTCGATCCCTGTCCCCTTTCACTTCCCCGGCTTTTTCTAGCCTGCTTCTTCCCGTTCCAAATTGGGCTCTCCTCTTGCTAGCAGCCCACCAGCTCCACCCTCATCACCTTTCCCAAATCGTTCGCCTACTCTCTGCTCATCACTTTCCCTTCTTTTCGCCAGGAGCTCCCTGGTTCTTTGCTGGCATGTGTCGCTTCCGTGTTTCCCATACAGCTGTCATGCGCATAGTTTTCCCACAGGTTGCCTTTGGGGGTTCCAGTCACCACTCCTTTCAGAGTCTTTGGATCCCTCTCGTTCCCTTCCCCCTGAAGTTTGACTTTTTAAGTCCCTGGGTCTCTTGTTTTTCCATTGTGAGTTTCCTTCCAGTCCTCTCCCCGGGTTCTTCCTCTGTTCTGGGAAAGATACCCAGTGTTGCAGCCCCGCTGTGTTAACATAACCTGTTGCTCAATCCTTCCCCGGCCTCGCTGCATCACCATTCCTGCCTTTCTGCCTTCTCACACTGCATCCAAACCAGGATGCTTTCTGTCTCTCCTCTCCTGTGCCTGTCACGTCTCATAGTGTCTTCCTCCTTGCTTGTTGCTTCCTGTTGCTCAACCTCACCCCTTACTATGCCTCTTAATCAGTGTTGCCTTTCATGTCCACATGAGTCTCCTTCCTGGCCCTCTTCACAACGTATTTAAAGCCCCAAAGCCCCTCCCCCCATCCATTACCTTCCTATTGGTTAGTCTTTGCAATTCACAGGAAGTCCACTCATTTGGCATGTTAATTTCTTATGCTACAGGTCAGCCTTACCACCCTACACACCCCCTTTTCCTGACAATCACTGCTATCATTTGTCACCCAAGCCTTTGCCTTTTCTGTGTCATCATCTCACCTCTAGAGGCATCCACTTTCTACCCCTCCCCTTCCTTTCACCATCTCCAGTGTCCCTTGTTGCCTGCTCTATGGACTGTCCCCTCCTGTCAGACCTTTCTTGGTGCACTTTACTTGGGAAAACTAAACAAAACAAACAAACAAAAAACTTGTCTTGAAAAAAGGAGCTCTTCTTCCCTGAGACTGCAGTACTTTTTGCATTCTTTTCCCTCATTGCATCCTGTATGTTTGCTTCCCTCTTATTCCCTTTTTTCTTTGTAGCCAGGTGGGGGTAGAGCTGATGTTGCAGTGTCTTGGATGTTAACCCCCTTCTCTGAAAAATCTTACCCTCCTTTCATTTACTGTGCTTTCCTGTCTTGTTAACCCTGTTCTGTGTCATCTGCACAGTTAGGGACTCAAGAGGAGTCTGTACAGAGCTTTCTCTACAGTGGTTGACTCTTATTACTTATGGACTGTTTGCTTCTGGATGAAGTACGAGTTGAGAGGGAGGGAGGGTTGATTTGTTCCATGTGGCAGCTGGTTCTGCATGGGACAGAGAGGTCTTTGGAAACTGAGGAGCTTGATCTGTGTGTCACAGTCCCCTCACTTGCCAGCTGGTTTTCCCCTACCTCTCTGGAGGTTCCAGAGAACCTTTTGCTCTCCCAACGTTTGTTTTAGCAGGTGGACCCTGCCTAACTGGAGTACTTTCCCAGGCTGTTGATTAGGAGCTGGTAGGAGGAGGCCAAGTGACTGGCATCCCCAGGCATTTGGGGAGTGGCTTGAGTGCCTACTCTTGGGAGGCTGTGGGGCATTGTGTTCAAGCAAGAGAGTAGCAGACTGCTTCAGTATGGTTTCTTTGTGCTGTTTACTAAATGCAAATGCGTTATTGCCATGGTCTTTTTCCTGTGATGTGTGCACTAATTTCTCTCCCTGACATGCCTAGCATACTGTCGAGTATGTGGTGGAGACTAGTGCGTGTGCACTGATTGCATGATAGCAGTAACTGGTGACCATTTTGGAATGTAAGCTGCTCTGTGATAACTTTGGCCAGAGCAGCGGTTGCATACATTATCGTCATATTCCACATTTATGGATTACTTATCCCTGCTCTGCTCTTTATGAACTTAGGTTCCCCTGTGCCATTTCATGGTTCTCTGTGGTTCTTAAGGTAGCCAGTGACACTGTTGCCTTCATGTTAAGTCTTACTCCAGTAAAAACTTGGAAAAATTGGGATACATATATTCCAGATAGGTGCTTGGACTCTCTCTCTCTCTTTTTTTTTTTTTTTTTTGTACTGGGGTTGGCACCCAGGGCCTCCTGCATGCTAGGCAAGTGCTCTACCACTGAGCTACAACCCACCCAGCTTTGTATTTTCTTTTTTTTTTTTTTACAGTACCAGGGTTTGAACTCAGGGCCTACACCTTGAGCCACTCCATCAGCCTTTTTTGTGATTGATGATTTTTTTCAAGATAGGGTCTCTTGAACTATTAACCCTGGCTGGCTTTTGAACCTTGATCCTCTTAATCTCTGCCTCCTGAGTAGGGGTAGTTAGGATTACAGGCATGAGTGGTACCTTGCCCCCAGCTCTGTATTCTTTAAAGCAAGAATAATATTCAGCAGCAACTCTTTCTGTCACAAGGCTAGGGATGTCAGAAGCATTGGCCTCCTTTAGAATAGATCATGTCACCAAGTGAAAGGAAATAACCTCCTTTAGAATAGATCATGTCACCAAGTGAAAGGAAATAACCTCTTCTTGGTCCTGTTGTTTTAGCTAAAGCAGTCATGAAAGCTCTGTCATTGCAGTAAGTAGCCTTAACGTTAGGAAATCAAAAACAAGGGATTTGGTTGGGCACTTCTCTCTCCCCACCAAAGGTTCACTATCACCTTATTTGAGTTTAAATTATTTAAACTGGTTTCACCAGAAAATAGGTAAACAAATTCCAGTGGTTGTCTCCAGTCTTTTCCCTGTTCTTTTTCTCTCTCTTTCTTTAAAAACGTGGTAGATAGCTGTTTCTTTGATCACAACTGAAACACAGAGAAAATGTTGAAGCATGAAAATAAACCTCATGTTGCAGGGAGATTGCCTGTTTGCTGTCAACTCTGCTTCTAACAGTGAAAGTAGGAGATAAAAGAAAGTCAAGGCCTGTCTTTAAGATGATTTTTGTGATACCTGATTCTAGACGTACGTTTTCACAATCATAGACAGCTTCCTTTTGCAGAAGGAGAATTTTGATCTGGGGCTGGTAGTTTTGGGGTTTCTTATTCTGTGAGCTGAGCTTCCTGTGAACTTCTTTTCTAAATGGCTCTGCTGGCCTGGAAGCTTGGCAGTCTGAATGCAATCAGCAAAATGACTGTTTGCCTTCCAGCCAACAGTAATAGGTGTGGAGAAGGGTCCAACTTCAAGAGTTCACCTGCCCCTCCTCGAGCTTTGGTTAAGCCCTGGGCGGTGGGAGCGCGTGGCTTTGCACCTGACCCACCTCTATGTCCCACAAACAGAAAGGGCCCCTGAAAGAAAACAGGAGTCTTTTGATACCCATCAGGCTTCTGCCCAGTGGGCAAGGGACAGCACTGTCCCCACTGTTGTAGGGAGAGGGTGGAGTATATATCCTCTCAGTGTTCTAGGAGAGAAGTTTGGAAGAGTGATGAAAAGGACAAATCTAAGTAATTGGATCCTATAAAGAACAACTGAGCCACTCCACACATCTTTATTACACCCCAGTATCAATTCTGGCCAGTGCTGCACTGAATACTTGTTTTTTGATGCCCTCCAGGTTGACTGGCTGGGTTAGGTGGCATCTGTTATCCCACTCCTGCCTCGGTGAGCTGTGTGGCACTGTGATTTGACTTGGGGGAGGGCTCCTGGTGGGGAATGTGGGTAAGTATAACACACAGTCTTACCTTCTGCTGGGTCCTAGAGATTTCACGTGAGGATTATTAGAGCAAGGGCTTTAGTAGTCCATAAGGTGGTCATGTCATACGTCCTTTGAATCTGCTAAACGCAGATATTAGCGCATTATAATAACGCCTCTCCATTTCGTGGACTTTGGGGAGTAATAAACAGGTGGACACAAGTCAGTCATTGAGAATTGACCCACCTCATATTGAAATTAAGTTTGTACAGGGGTAGCTGAATCTTTCAGGCTGTGACCAAAGATTGGGCTAAAGATTTTTTTCAACATGAATGTCTCAGGCAGAGTTGACACCTTCGAGATGGGGAAAGATGGAGAATTTGTTTGCCTGAGAGGTTTGCCTGGTGAGATCTTTTGGGAGCCAGAACTTCTCCGGCTACACTGTTTCCCCTTTGGATAGAACAACCCAGTTCTCACTGGGCATTTGACCAGGACTAACCCAGGCTGTCATGAACTCTTTCCCATTGAGCACTTAGCCACCTGGCTGGCATTTCTCTTCTCCCAAGAGCTTCCATGAAGTTCCTACATATGTATTATGTAGACTCAAATGAATATTTTATGCCTAGAGTGCAGCCAAGCCTCAGACTTTGTAGCCCATTATCGACAAGTGGGTGGGGGCTGGGCGCCACCTCTAGACCCATGATAGTGTCTCTGCTAAATGGACTCCCTCAGCAGCACTTTGAAGTCCACTAATGGGTTGGGATGAAGTAACCTCAGCAGATGGAAAGGGCCAGGAGGATGGTCATCTTCCTTGACT